AATAGTTTAACCGCCAAAACTCTCACGAGGCCGTAGATGATACTCAACAGCGAGGGAACGCTGAATTTGAATAGGCAAGATTGAGCATGGGCAGGGGGGTCATTACCCTAAAATTCCAGCCTCCTAGACTCCGTGGTTCCTGAGATATTAATTCACCCGTAAAAAACTTTCGCGGGGCCGTACGTGTTAGTCGCGAGTACGGGAAGGCTGAATTTAAATTTGCCGCTTCATCCGTTGGCGGGGAACACTATACCAAAATTTCAGCCGCCTAGCTTTTGTAGTTCCCGAGTCGAAAGTGCGGGACAAAATGTGGGACACACACACACACACACAAACACACATACGCACAGACAACCCCGTGACAATATGCGTTTCGTAACGCTGTTACACAGCACAAAACGCACATAAAGAGAGCCGCAAAGAAATTTCGCAAAAATTCATTCATTTTTATACTAAAATATTGCTCTGAAACAAATACCTCGGTGATGGAGCCTGTCTCAATTCCACCTCCAAGAAGGCGATCCAATTCTCGGCTTCCTGTGCCTATCTGTATAATTTCGGAGCGTTTCACATGAACTTCACTGGCCGTCGTAAAACCCATTGGAACCAATTTTGCTGCTTCAGTCTGGAATTGCAATGCAAAAAGAAAATTTGATCGCACCCTAACGGCAATTTTCGCTAGTTGCAAGAATTCTCTTTGATAACTTGTCCTCCAAAAAAAAAAAATCCAAACTTTTCATTTCGGAATTAAAAAAATTACTCAAATTACTGCTAGCCTTATAAAATGTAAAAGCATTAAGATTTTACGAAAATTTTTTCGGCTTTTTGTTCGCTAATTCCTTTGATTGCGATAAGCTCCTTGCGTGGCGCATAAGCAATCGCCTCGAATGTGTTGAAGCCTGCTTCTTTCAGCTTTCGAATGTCGGCTGCCGCTATTCCGAACTGCTGAAAGTAGAGGAAAAAATAAAATCATTCACAAAATTTCCTGCTTCACCAGCCAAATTACAACCCCTTGCTTTTCGCAATTTTTATGCGTTTTCTGCTGTGTAACAGCGTTACAAAACGCATACTGTCACGGGGTTGTCTGTGTGTGTGCCCCACATTTTGTCCCGCACTTTCAACTCGGGAACCACAAAAGCTAGGCGGCTGGAATTTTGGTATAGTGTCCCCCGCCAACGGGTGACGCGGCAAATTTAAATCCAGACTTCCCGTGCTGGCGGGTAACTCGTACGGCCCCGTGAAAGTTTTTTACGGGTAAATTAATATCTCAGGAACCACGGAGTCTAGGGGGCTGAAATTTTAGAGCAATGACCCACTGCCCACGCTCAACCTTGCCCATTCAAATTCAGCTTTTCCGCGCTCTCGGGTATCACCTCCGGGCTAGTGAAAGTTTTTACGGGTAAATTATTATCTCGGGAACCACGGGGTCTAGGAAGCTGAAATTTTAGGGTAATAATTCCCTGCCCACGCTCAATCCTGCCTATTCAAATTCAGCGTTCACTCGCTGTTGAGTATCACCTACGGTCTCGTGAGAATTTTGGCGGCTAAACTATTGACTA